TTTTCACACGTTCAGAAACTGGACTCTCAAGCACAAGTTGAACACCAAAAATAATTATAAATAAGTCAAGAATACAAGAAATACAGTCTACTATCAAGATACAAGATTAGAGGGTATTAGTAGAGACATGGTCCAAAAAGGAGAGTGGGTTAAAGGAAGGAATTGAATAGGGTCGCCATGCGCTTGGAGACGGTACGAAGGATAGAGGGATGGATGTGCGCCTCTGTGCCCAACGTAATGAAGCGCGAGAGGAGCGCGGCATCTTGCGAAGAGTTCGCGAGGTTGTGGTATCCTTGGAAGACGAGGCTCTTGGTAGCGCTGGAGTTGATCTGGGTCAAAATTTGAGTAAGGCAAATGGATGAAAAGGAGACAGAAAACGCACCGAGAAACGAGACAGAGCACCTTGCACGACAGCATAGTAATTATGCTCGGTGTCGGCATACTCTCTCTCTGAAAAAGAAAGGTTTAGAGTCCAGAAATGAAGGGATAAAAGAAGGAAGGACGCACCGAACTTAGTCGGAGTCATGAGTCCGTCCCGTACCAACGCAGAGAGGATGTCGCGTTCCCGGAGCATGTGCCGGTCGCGGGCGCGGACCAGGACGTCGATAAAGCGTGCAGCAGAGGCGTTGGCACAATCAGGGATTCCCAGAATGGCGCAAGACGGGCACGGAATTCCAGCCTCCCAGAACTGACAACAGATGTCCATCTCAGCGCAGTTGGCGCAGCGCTGTTCGCCCTAGGAAAATAAGAGGAAGTCAGGAACAGGAGAATAAAACGCGGGGAAGGAAAGGGAACACGCACCTCGAGCTGAGTCCGGCAGAGTTCAATCGCTATGTCGTGATCGGCCCCAATACTCCCAATCGAGACTCGCGGTAAGATGGTGTTGCCGTGATCGTCTGCAGACAGAAATATGCGGCAATCCGTCGGGGGAATAATCGGGAGAACGAGGAAGTCCGGAGGAGGGCTAGGGTAGGCGCCTTGGGGACGAGGGGCGTCGTATGGTCGAGGAGCCGGACGAGGGGCGGAATAGAGCGACTGCATGGACGAGGAGTCGATGGAGAAGCGGGAAGAGGACATGTTGGTGAAAGAAAGTATGTGCAAGGAACGTCGAAGTAAATCTGAAAGGGGTGTTAGGACTTGGCCGAAAAAGAGGGGAAGAAGACCGGGACGCACTAAGCGGGGAAGGCAAGGCTCGCGAGGAAGGAATAAGGTTGGCAGGAGAAGGTGGCGTTGCTTTTAAGGTTGGAAGGGCATAATGCTCGCCCAAAAACAAAGGGAAAACTTGCAGAGAATAAGTTGTTGGGGTGGGTGGGATGTCCAAGCAGCGCACAAAGGAAAATTCTGGGCATTTTCCGCTGTATTACGTGCAAGGATAATGCCGTTATGGGAAATTAAAAGGGAAATACGTACCAGGACAGTGCGGGGATGAGTTGAGGACGTAATCAACTACAATTGTTGTATTGTCGGGGCGGAGGGACAAAGGCGCTTGTAGGGCTTTGTCAACCGTGAAAGGACAACATGAGAGTCCGAATAATAAGGGAGTGAGAGTAAATTGTGGGGGAAAGGCCAGCGAGACAGCCTGCACAACTAATGAATTAGTACGTAGGACTGTCTCGCGCGTTCGACAGCGTGGGTTGGCCATCGCCGTTGGACTAGAGGACACTACAGACAGTTAGTAGCCTGACTGGGGACAGTCAGAATCTGTGAAAAATGGAGATGAAGAGCCGGAAAAGTTTTCGAGCTCAAAATGCCCGCACTCGGGCATTTCGGCCATGTTCATCAGTGGAATCTGATGGCCGATCAACGGCAACCTGGGGGAGAAACTCAACTTCGTTAAGTTCAAGCCGCGGCGCGGAGGGTTATGGATGGGGAAATGAAGCAGAATGGTAGTTTGAAACCGAAGTAGTAGAGAGGGTAGTGAAACCAGACGACCTAACGTGTCGGAGCGCGACTAGCTTGAACTCACCAAGAACCAAGTTGCATCTCTAGGGTAGGTAGCATAGGGACTACTAGAGACGTGTTTTGGCTGTCAGTAGCTAGGGAAGGAGCCCCTGGTTGGGAAAGGGGGGTGGTTACGGATTACATCTGGACAACGGAGAACAATGGGGAGCCAGATCACGGTCACGTGACAACTGATGGATTGTGTGTAGCGCGTTTCATGGATGGTTTAAACAAGTTTCGTGGAGCTTCCGACGCGTTTCAGGTGTCCTACATGTGACAGGGCCTTGGATACATGGATACACATCCAAGATACGCCTCAAAAACCCTGTAGAGTAGTAACAGAGGTCTTCAACCTGGTTACTTGTATTAATTTTGTGTTTCGAGTGGGAGTTGGGCGGTTGAAGGGAGGATTTTGGTACAAATCTACGCCATAAGTAGAGGGCTGGGAGTTTTGAGCAGGTTTTGGACCTAGAAGTTACACGTATATATATATGTTTGGGTTGTACAAATACCTACAGTATAAAAGGCCGAGTAGTTTAGCTGGTTAAAGGACAATTTTACGCCCGGTTTACCCGTGATCTCTCTCTCTCTCTCTCTCTCTAAAAGGAACGGAACGGTTGTACGGGAACGGGAACGGAACGGGAACGGGAACGGGAACGGCAATTATTGGTTGAAAAGAACGGAACGGTTTATTGGATTGAAAGGACTTACGGTTATTATCTGAATTGCAACTGCCATATATTTTGGTAGGAACCCCCGATCTTGCGCGCTACTAGTGTTGTTGGGACTTGAACTTGACGGTTAGAAGGAATTGGTTGACTTGCTGTTGGACGGCACGGGTTATTAAGGTTGGAAGGATTTGGGTTTATATTTGAGTTCACCTGTCAACACACACTCAGCGTTTCAGCGGAACATAAGGCGCGGATCATTTTTTTTCCTAAAAATGGCCACTTTGATCATTTTCACTGCTGCCCCTCTAATGCATTCAATTCTGCCTCAAATGCCGTGAATCCTTCACTAGACATCTTCAATGAATATTCCAGAGTGCGCTGTCTGCTCAAATTAGTTCTCTTATTCAGTGATGGCTGAGTAAGCCAGATGATCAAAATTTACCTTGCTACCCCTGCTTCAAAGGAAGGATCTATTGGGGGGTGCTGAATATTTGTCTCTATGTTTATATATGTGTTTCCAAGTACGCTGGGTACTTTATGTTGCAATTCTGCCACGAGAAACATGTCAACAAGCACATCAATAAATCCATTCATTTGATCGTGGTACCTGTGCCATGGCAGGAAGGTATATTGCCCGAAAGGCTACACTATGCACTGTATGGGACACTCATACACCCACAGGCAAAAGGCTAGGGCATCCTCACGTGAACTCCTCTTTAAGCAGGGTCAGCAGTTGGAAGTCCATGGCATTTGCTTACAAATCCACCAGCGGGAAAGATAAACTTGAGAACCGGCCTAAGCACTGTAAAATACCCCCAAAGATCGATTGGAAATGGTTCCAGGGCTCCAGGTGAAGAATTGAGCAAGATATCGGGGTAGCAGTGAAAACAACCCTTTTTGATAAAAATTTGATCCACGCCTTATGTTCTGCAAATAGCTGTAAGCTCTCCTTCAAGTGTTTCTCCTGAATCGCTAAAGCATCTTTCAGCTTAGCCACTTCATCCATGATGTTTTCCACTATGGAGTCCAACTCACACTTAATGCCCTTGACTTCAGCCGAAGCTGTCTTAGACACCAAACTTGAACTAATAAAATCATCCCGGTGATAAGCCAGGAAAACTGCTACGTGTGCAAAGACGATGGCTAGGATGACCCTATTAGGTGCAACCGGTTCTATGGACAGGAAGTACCACTACTAGATGTGTCTCCAAAAATTAAGTGCACGGACTAGACGGATATGTAACAAGATTCGGAAAAGCCAAAGTGCCAGCCAGACCACTTACTATGAGGAGGAGTTACATTCACCAACTATATGGGACAGAGTAGTAATGATCCTAAAACTAGTTGGCCAGAAGCCCTCTGTTGGAGGAGCTTGAACCAAGGACACGATGCAACTGAGCACGTGGCTTCGAAACTTGACAGATAGTGCCTGGACTTATCTCGGATAGCCAACCGGTGGTCTATTTCGGTATGAGTTTGGAAAGCCAACCGAACGGGCTGTTTGGCGCAAATGGGAGACCACCTCGGATAAGTTACCAAACCATTCTGGGATGAAGTGATCTGTGATCACCAAGTCCAGTACCACTACTGGCACGAACTATACCAAAACACCTATGAACTAGATAGCCATCTAGTTGACTGAGCCAAGTCTATGAATGTGTTCCAGAGAGAGCTGGAAGCGACAGGATGAAGAAGACACGATCAGGAAGAATCAAACACCCCACTAACCAAAAACGGACCAACCTCCATCTGGACCACGGAAGCCAGCCAAGCTAACCAATCAGAAGAAGAACCAAAATATTTGAAGCACTGATACCAGATAGTTTACCAAGTGAACATCAATTATTTATTAGTCACCTATTTTCTGAATCATGTATAAAAGAACATTAGAGTAGAGTAGAAAGCAGCAGACTCCCTGGGGCAGTGACCTGACAAGTCATTGGTCCTAGCTAGTCATGCTCTCGGACTGCTAGTTGCTACATGCACTTGTATTCTGGACAAACTTGATTGAATTGGATTGGATTGGATTTGAACCTGAACGGAATTGGACTCGCACAGACTTGGACTCGCATGGACTTGATTCAACGGAATTGGACTCGCATGGGCTTGATTGACTTGCACGGACTTGGACTTGCACGGTGTGAGCTGTCACTTTGTAATGCGCTCTGAACACGGCCAAACGGGAGGAAAATCATACTCACGACAGCGACTCCGTATCAATAAAAAGCATCGGATACACCACCACCAGGGCCAGACCCCGAATCGAACAGGGTACTCTTGGAAAATCGCTCCATCCCAATGTATCGAGTCCAAGCGTGTTACCGTTACACTATCTGACCGCGAGTACTCACCGAGACCACAAGCAAAAAAGGATCCTCTGCGTCAGCGAGGCCGAACCCCGAATCGAACGGGGAGCTCTTGGAGGAGCTCTATCCGCGTGTGGTAGCAAAATCCAAGCGTGCTACCATTGCACCATCCAGCCGCATACAACTCCGTACCAACAACGAAAAAGGTTAAAGAAACGCAAGGGCCAAGGCCTGAACCCGAATCCAACAGGGAGTGCGCGAAGAACTATTTCTTGAAAAAGTATACCTTTCGCGTGTGCTACCGTTGCACCACCAGGCCACGACTCCGATAGAACAGTACGGGGGGACTTACGACTGTGAATCACCGACTCACCGTGCACTACAATACGGAGGCGGGCCGATGGCGGACCGCTGTACAGAGGAGGTTCTGGGAAACGGGAGGACTAAACAGGAAACGGAGAAGGACACGAGGCAGCTCCGTTTCGGCGTTGACTCCTTCAAACTCGGGGAGCACATGGAGAGCGATGCGGTGAGTCAGACTGGAGAGCCCGTTTCCTAAAAGAGGAGTTATTACGCGCGCGGGTATCGGACTGAGAACAGTATAAAAACCCCTTGTATTACAGCCGTTTGCATAAGTCCGTGAAAACGCGTTTTTTATTTTTTCTGCACGTGATTTCATGTAAGCTATATTACATGAAAGATTTATGCATGTCCCTGCACCACAATTTACCTGAAATGTTCAAAACAATGAATAACAGGTTGCAGGCAGAAACCCCACTTTATTTAGAAGCCCACTAAGTATTGAACTTTGCAACTCTGTGAGGTTTCTCTGTGATCCAGGCCCCCAGCCGAGACTTATCAGATTGTAAGTGGTTTGTCTGCAAGCATAGAACAACATGTACCCAGTGGATTCCGACCATAAACCGTAATCGTTACCAGCAGATGTGCGGTCGGCTGCAGTGTCGGCAGCATGGGTACATCAGCATTTTCGTGCCAACAGTCACGCAGTGTGTGGTATGGGTTGAACTAGAGTGGATGTGTGTCAAATCCAACTACCCAGGGTAGGGTAGGTTGTTTCATGTACTAACACTGCAAGCCGGATGAAGCCGAGCTGCCGAGTCCTCGGCAGGGCTCGGCCGGTTGTTATCTGATTGCGTGGACCCTTTAAAGTCACTGGGAGGCATACTAAGCCGTGCCACGACCTTTTAATAACCATAGTTATGCTGGTATCCGTGGAACAGAAGTGAAAGAACAGTGGTACTTGTACCCAGGCACCCATGCCGTGTCTCTCCGGCATGGAATTGAAATGATCCGAAGTTGAAAAAAAAAAAAGGTCATGCTCAAGGCAGCACTGTTGGTTTGGCGACTCGAAGTCTGTTTGTTGCCGCAAAGGGAACAATTCAGTCATTCAATTCAGGTAGATCCACCGGCAGAAACCTAGGTGTCTGGACACGGCTCTATTTTTAGGTGGGTTTCTGAAGAGAATTATCCCTATATCAGAGTCAAGGGCCGTTGAGACCTTGAGGAGCGGACTACGGTACGCAAATTTTTCATGTAATATGGCTTACATGAAATCACGTGCAGAAAAACGGAATAGCATCTTATTACCTCCCACTGCATTTACCTAAAAGCTACTCCCCCTGAAGTACACCAGGGTGGGGAACTAAATTAAATACACTCCGCTACGGGTCGTGCCGCCCAATAGTAGGACAAACCAAGGTCACCTAGAAGGCCAGGGCTTGTCAAGAAACCCCGTCCGCCTCACCTCCGTTTCGATAAATTGATACGGGGGAAATATAGTCAATCCGGAGTTGAAAGCGCGCGGTAGTAGATTAACGTGGCACACCACCAAACGGCCAGTCGCCTAACTTGGCTTCGTGCAACCGTTCCTTTTCGGAGTTCGAGCGCATATCCTTGCGAGGAACCCACCCCATCGTACACAGAAGGCCTATCCTACGCGATCATACCATTTTCCCCATTCAATTCGCACACTTCACCCCCGAGTCTTCGAAACGGAAGTGATTCCGTTTCAAGGCGTTCACCAACGGAGAAACCAGGCTACGAAGGGAATCGCTATAGCCATCCGTATAGTGTTGCACTGTACTGAAGAGACCTGCTGTCCGATACGTTCGAGACGGGTGGATAAAGCATAACAGATAACCCGAGTACTCCGGAACGGAACAGCATTCGCATTGCGGAGTGTACCCTTCGAGCAAGTGTAGAAAACTATCCATCCGCGGTACCTTCGGAAGGCCAGCCCCCAACGAAGAACTAAATCTTCGAGGAACCTGGCAAAGTGTTCAATCCAAACGGAGAGAACTGTACACACACACACACCACAAATTATATATCGCGCATTAGCGTACCTTAAAACTACGCAGCTCCGTGAAAGAGCAATTTCCCCCTAGAGGACGAATTAAATTCTGTAAAACACTACTTGACTATACCCACCCCGGGTCAGGCAGTTCACAGAACCGCAGTCCGCATCACAACGGACTTGAACCTGACTTGCACGGACTTGAACTATACCGAACCGAGTGGACTTGAACTATTTGACCGAACAATTCCCACGACTTGAACTAAACGTTCTGTTGTGTGTGTGACCTGTTACCCCAGAACATTGACAAAGCCCACACCGGTCTAATGTCACAGACAAAGCCCTGCACTATCTTATCTCGTCCGACTATACCCTGATAGCGGATTGGGTGGTGAGATGTACTGTAGCAGGAGCTCCGTAAAGATGATCGAATAAACGACTAGGGAGGGTACAGAATACTCTACTAACTAGTCATACTTATACCGTCTAGGTGTGAACTACTAACTACTAAATATGGTAGCGACTGCGTGGCAATTGTTCGTAGCCTCGTGTACTCCTGTGAGCAATACCTTTAAGCATGCGTTTATGCTGTCCTTTGTCGTGCGTGTAGCGTGTGTCCTTTAATATATACTTACTGCGGCTCCTGGCGTCCAGCCCGTCTTCATGGATCGGCATACACCTTTACTTCTGTATGCTGGGAGTTCTCTCGTCGTCTCCACTGATCCTTCGTCCGAGGCTTTGTCTGTGAGCCAATAATATCCACCATGCACCTTGGCGTGTGTCTTGCCATGTGGGTGCAGGTTCTTCGTCGATCGGTCCCTCGATCAAGGTCTTCTATTAACACCATGTGTCCTTGGTGCTTCTTCGATCGTAGGGCTTCTGTATTCCCATGATCGGTGTGTGCGTTGTATGGCAGGCGACAGCTGTCGGGCGGTACTGTCGGTGTACGGCCTTCGGTGTCCCGCCATGTCTTCTGGTGAAGCGCTCCCGGAGCGTCACGCGTGACTAGTCACTGCGGATTGTCCTAAGCGGACAATATGTGTCGCGCAAGACTGTGTTCCCGTTTAATCTACAATGGCGGTGCCATGTCCTGATAGGGATATCTTCTATTCCCATATTGAGTTCCTGTTGTAGAACTCTTTGTCGTCTGAGGGGTCGTCCTCGTACGTCGTATTCCCTCTGAAGTCCTGCGGCGGCTCTGGCTCATCGTCGTCGCTGCCGTTACTGCCGTATTCCTCGCAGTACTTCCTTCGGTATTCTAAGCACTGTTCCCATCGCGCGTTGTTCTCTGCGATGAGCCGTGCTTCGGCTTCTTCCTCCATCTCGTCATCTCCTTCGCTATCTTCTTCTAATAGCCTTCGGAAGAGATTGTCTATCTCCTTCCGGTTCTTGCCTTTAACCGGTTCTGCCCGAGGGACTTCTTCCGGTAGCATGATATAGTTTAGGCGCCTAGGCGCTTCTACTATCTTAGACGCCTGTGGGCGCCTCGGCACTTCGACCTGTGTCCGTTCTGCTATCTCGTTATCACCCTTATCATTCTGGGCGTCTACGGGATCCTCGACTTCAGGATCTATATCTGGGATCCCTTGGTCGGCGGCTTGGTTCTCTTCGGCTTCTTCCTGGAGAACCTTCTGCTCGAGTTCGGCCAGCCTCTGCCTTAGCAGGTTGCCGGCTTCTATGTCTCCGCCTTGGCTGCCGAACGTGATCTGCTCGAGAGCGTCGAGCCACTCCTGTAGCTGGGCTCGGCTTCGACTCTCGGGGGTTGACTCAGGCTCCGGCATCTCCTCTTCCGAGACTTCGGAGTTGTCGCCTTCAGCTGACTCTTGGCCGAAGGTCTGTTCGTCTTGATCTTCGGGGATGCCAAAGATCTGTTCCTGTTGATCTTCAGGGGTGTTGAAGATCTCGTTGTCGTAGTTCAGGTCCTCGAACTCGACTAGTTCCATACTCAAGCCGTATCCCTTCTCAGGTGTAGGCTCGGGTTCAGGGGTCTCTTCCCGTTCTGGCTCAGACTTAGGGGTGTCGTCCGCCGTTATCTTATCTGTGTGCTCCTGTTTGGCAACAGTCTCAGATGGCGTTGGAACGATAAGATTGGAATCGAATCGTGACATCTAACCCACCATTACTTGCAATAAAACCTGCTTTCGAGCAAAAAGCCCAACTTGTGCTACTCAGACTTGCCAAATAGACCGTCCTGCTCCTTCAATCTGAAGTAGAGCCAAAGCCATCGCGCATTGAAAGAACTCGACTCATTTGGTCTATACAAGCCTAATGCTTGGCTTTCACCCCCAAACAAACCTGTTCATCACCTAGTGCAGAGAGTGGTAGTTTTGGTGTTTAATTTTGGTTTAGTTGGATATACTCCGTCTATCTCATTTCTAGCATTTTCCATCCATGCACATAGTGAAGACCTTTCAGTGGGACTCAGTGAAAATTTAAATCTTGGCAGAAATTCAAGCCGATAAAATCTTCAAAAAAATATTTTATGCATTCCGACACCATACTTCATCCTATGTGTCCACACCACAACCACCTTCTCCACTCGGGATCCCTCTGGCACTTTGGTATGACATGTTCATCTAGAGAGCTGAACCCAAGAGGGGGATACTGTTATATCCGTGCGCACACACCAGGGAAGCATTCCGCAATTGACACCTAACACTCCACAGTCTCTGGTGTCTCTGAAGCTACCGGAACCCTGGAGACTACCGGCGTCGCCAAAGGCGCAGAGGTCCCAGAGGTCGTAGTCACAGTCACGGTGGTCATAGGTGTCGTGGGCGAAGAATTTGTGCCATTGGGTGGGTAACGGTAGAAGTAAGGAAGGTGCAGAGAATTGGCGCACTAGGCGAGTTGTTAGCACAA